GGCGCGGCGCAGGCGAACAGCGGCGGCTCCGCGCTCCCGAGGCTCTTAAGGGGCGCGACGCAGGCCGCCCATTGGCCGCTATTTATAGCCCATTCATTCCATTGGGTCGCGCTGCGGGGTGGTGCCGCCGCTTTGTCCGCCACCCTCTGCCCCCGGAGCACCCCCCCCCAACCCCAAGCAGCCCACCCCGACTATCCCCTGGCCGGGACCCCGCGCAGCCTGCCTAACCCCACCCCGCGCCCGCCCAGGATCCCGAAGCCAGAACCTCAGGCCCTCGGACATTCCGGATTCCCCCACACCCACGCCTGCCTCCGAGCGGGAAACCGAGGCAGGAGAGCCGGCAGGCACTTGAGAGCGCTCGGCCTTGTCTGCACCCCGGCCCCTGCCTTCCCCCCTCCCGCTAGTCCTCGTGGTGGTCGCGGCGCCGGGCCAGGCGGGAGCCGTCCCGGGCTGCCACGGCAGGTACCGCCACCCCCCGCCGCCCACCCCACCCCCGCAACCTTCTCCCTCCCAGTCTGAGTTGGCGCCGAGCCGCCGACCTTCTTCAAGGTGCCCGCAGGCATCTCCCCGGCGATCTTGGTGCAGAGCGAAGGCACGCCGGAGGCGCAGTCTGGCTGCGGCCCAGCCCGGCGGCACCCTTGGTGGCGTGACCTTGGGCAAGTCCCCGGGCTTTGGGGTCATCTGAGCCAGAGACTCAGCCCCTCCTGGTTGATGAGCGAATACTGACTGTGGCCCTGCTGGGAAGAGCACGGTCTCAGAACCCCCAGACCCCAGGCCTTGGCCCTCTCTTCCAGGGACAAGTTCATCTCCACACCCCACCCCAAAGGTCGTCCTCAGAGACTCTCCGCAGAGGCTGGAGGAAATGCTCACAAACAATAAGCACATGTGAGACTTAAAAAACAAAAAACTCACTGAAAATCAGAATCCTGCAAGTGAAAGTAATGACTGCCTTCCACTATACCCAACACCCCAGACTGGCACCAGCCAGTGTTGGCTATGGGCCGGAATGTGGGGAAACAGGCATTCACAGGCTGCCTGCAACTGTGAAGTGCTACATTAGTTTTGGAAAGTAATTTGGTAGTATTTATTAAAACATAAAATCTTTGTACTCTGTGACCCGGCAATCCCACTTCTAGGAATCCAGCCTGTAGTCTCATCTCTCTTTGCACACAGGCCAACCCTCTCTAGTAGGAGAAACAAACACAAACAGACCTGTATGAAACCGGATGCCCATCACCTGGGGACTGGCCAGGGGTAGGGAAGGCATCTCTCCAGTGTGGAATATTATACAGCTATTAAAAAGCATGAATTGGGGACTTCCCTGGTGGTGCAGTGGATAAAAATCCAGCTACCAATGCAGGGGACAGGGATTTGAGCCCTAGTCCAGGAAGATTCCACCTGCCCAATGGGCAACTAAGTCTGTGCGCCGTAACTACCGAGCCCCAGGAGCGGAGACGCCACGGCAACAAGAAGCCAGCAGGCCACAGCGCAGAGTGGCCCCGGCTCACCGCAACTAGGGAAAGCCTGACCGCAGCGACGAAGACCCAGAGCAGCCAAAAATGAATCAATCAGTATTTTTTTAAAGGGTAAACTGGCACTTTAATGGTTAACGTCCATCATCTGGTTGCTTTGTGAACAAAACAAGGAAGGGGGAAAACACTTATCTATGTGTTTATTCAAAATCCCCCCAGAAGTGCACAGGACTGCTGGAGGAAGACTGTGAGCTCGGCAGCTGTCAGCAAGCAGCCAAGGGAACAAGATATGGTCAAGAACGGGGAGGAGACGGGTGCCTCCGGCGGGGCTGAGTGCTGATCCGCGTGCTGGGGCCCCTGAGGGCGCCGGGGCACAGAGCGAGCACGTTCCTGTGCCTCTGCCTCTGTGCGAGGCCCGCGGTTACCATGGAGGACTCCTGCCTCTTCCCTTGCTCAATTTGGCGTGTTTTGACCTGCTCCCAGTCAGCATTTTTTTTAGACCCGTAAAGCAAAGCAAGGTAAAATGACAAATGGCTCTGGACTGGCCAGACAGGTGTCCTCTAAGCCTGAAATTCCTGTGTTCCGTGCCTCCTGCTGCCCCTCTCCCTCATTTTAGAAATATCTGCACCTGCCCTCCCCAGCACCCCACCGACAAAGGACTGATGGACTCAAGATTCTGTTTCCAGAAACCGAGTGCTGGCTCTGGAGGCCTACTTGACTTTCAGACCCCGGAGATTGAGGCGGGGGACGCTCAGGGCTTCCTTCCTCTTTGTAGCTTTGGCAGCTTCTCAGAAGGTCCCCCACCACCACCTTCAGGCCACCAAGGGCCTGACCCACTTGGGGGGACGGGGACAGGGAAGGACCCCATTCCCCTCTCTCTCCACAAGCAAGGTCCTCACTAGAGAAGTGAAGTCCAGAAGCTTGGGGTCTTGCCCAGGGTCTGCCTGGGGCTCCAGCAGTTCTCAGCCTTCTGAGATGCATGTTTTATCCTAGTTTTGCAGGTGAGCAAAGGGAAGATGAGAAGGTGGGTGATGGGGAACCAGGTCCAAGGTCTGGCAATCCCCCTGTGATCCTGCAGTGCCTGGCCCTGTGCTAACCTGCCTGAGGGCCCACCCTGCAGACCCCGAGCTGGCCACACCTGGGCTGGACTGAGGCTGACAACACATGTGGTCAGCAACTGTGACGGGGGAAGAGAGGAGGGGTCTTGGAGGCCTTTATAGACCCAAAAGTCAGGGCGAGGCCCCTACCGGGCAGCGGCCACTTGGGAGCCTGGGTGGTCTTGAGCAAGGGAACAAGGAGAGGGGCCCAGGAGGGCACCAGCCTCCACTTCTGTGGAAGAACGCTGCTCCCAGCTAACCGAGCCCTCCCCTGTGGACCCTCCAGTCTCCCCAGGGCCCACAGGAGCCGGTTTGGCAGCGTCTGGGCAAGAAGCTAGGTGACATCATCCGGCCAGTTTATGGTCCAGGTTTCTCAGAAATCACACTTGGTTACACATTAACCACCTGGCCCTGGAGGGGGTGGGGAGCCTCAAAGGAGTCCCTGGCCTTTCATCCACAGAACACGGCCCTGCTCGGCAGGCACAGAGCGGGGCCAGTGGAGGAGGACCAGGCCCCAAGCAGGGGCTAGGACTTCCTCCTAATGCCCTGTCCCTGAGCTTCACAGAACCCAAAGGGGAAGTTGGTTGGGGTCAGAAAAGGGGCAAGGGCTGCCTTGTGGCCACAGAGTATGGTGGGGCAGGAGATCAAGCTGGTCAGGGAAGAGGAGACCGTGGATCAGAGATCAGAGCAGAACGGCCCTCCCCAGAGGGCATCATCGGCCTCCTGCTCTCCTCCAGGGCGCTGTTCCTGCCTGTTCCCACCTTTCTTCCAATCTGCCTTTGGTTTTCTGAAGCCGAGTTTACTGACTTTAAATCCCAATCCCACTTTGGCCACATTAGTTGTGTGATCTTAGGCAAATTACCTGACTTCCCTGAGTCTGTAAAATGGTCCCTCTCTCACAGGATTGTGGGTAAGATTCAAAGTGATGACACTTAACTGGGCTTACACAGCATCAGTTTTTTTTAGGGGGGGCAATATATAAACTCTGCCCTGGGCAAAGTACCCACCTGACCTAGCTAATCAGTTGGTGCTTGAGGACTCAGGCTGAGGGCTGGGCAGAATCAGAGAGAAGACAGACAGGCTGGAAAGGCTGCCTGGAGGAGAGGGCAATGGAGAAGCTGGCCTACCAGTCCCCCACAGAAAGGCGATGGGAAGTTGGGAACCAGAGGAAACCACTGCCGAGTCACCGAGTCCAAATTTAGGCTCTTAGTGTGCACTCAGCCTCTGAGTAGCTGAGAGGCTGGGGAAGAGGAACCCCCAAGAAGTGGAAAGTTGCTATCTCCCAGGAGAGCAATTAAGAGGTGATTCAGGCGGGTGCAAAGCCACCTGGAACAAAGGTTGGCGAGCTACAGATGGAGTTGAGTTGTCCGAGAGGAGGAGGCAAGGCTGTGATGCAGCCACACAGGCAGCTGGTGGTCAGAGCACTGGCCCCGTAGGGACAGGAACCCACAGAAAATGAGAGGTCACCAAAGGCCCCCACCTTCCTCCCCTGGGGTTCCAAGACGCAGGCCCAGTCAGGAAGGGGGCATGGAGGAGCTGAGGCTAGGCACCTGGGTCTCCATCATGGACTCTGCAGTTCGCAGATACCCTCACCAGGCCCGGCCCCAGAGGAGGGAAGAATTCAGCGCCCTACAAGTTGACAGGGCTCTAGGAAGGGGCTGGTTCCGCAGGGCCTGGCCACTCCCAGTTGTCCAGAATGGAGCAGCCTGGGTCTGGGAATCGTGGCCAAGGGTCAGGCTAGCTGGTCCTGAGTTGGGGCTCAGGCCCCAGCCTGGCTGGGTGGGCTGGGGTCTCCATCAGATAAGGCCTGGCCCACAGGGACATGCGCAGTGGAGGAAGATGGTTCCTGCCCCCGTGCCCCTCCCCAGCGCACACTGTCCGCCCAGCCCAGAGCCTGGCTCTGATTCAGCACCGCTGAGACACAATGGGGCTGCAGCTTCCCTGTTTCTGCGGGGCCCTCCAGATGGCCCTCCCCCGCTCGGGCCGCTCTTCCTGTCCTCACTGACCCGGCCCCCCAAGAGAAGACCCGTGCGTCCAGTGCTCAGCGCACCCTGGGTTCCAGGAGGGGACGCAGGGCTCCCTCCGTCCTGGAGGCGGCTTCCGCACTCCGGAGAACGTGCCCATTACAGGAGAGGCCAGGCCTGGGTGTAAGGCCGCTTCTGGCCACCGTTCCCTGCTGCTCAGGCTGCCTCCCGCCAGTCACGCCCGCGCCCACAGAGGAGACCGCGGCAGCTTGGGGGCGGGCTACCCGGGCTCTCGGCGGTCCTGGGCGCGAGCAGGTAGCACCCGAACAAGCCGACCTAGAGCGCGCCACGGACGCGAGGAGGGGCGGTGCGCACCCCGAGACACCGCCCTCTCTCCCGGGAGGCCCCGCGCGCGTCAGGGGGCGGGGGCGCCATGATGTCATCGGCGGGCGCCGCGCCCCAGCCGGCGGAAGTGCTGCCGCGGCGACGCGAAGCCACGTGCGGCGCCTCCAGGAGTCGGAGGGCGACGAGCGTCGCCGGTGAGGCTCGGCGGGGCCACGGTGGCAGAGCGCGGGTAGTGTGGGGGGCGTCTCCCCGGCGGGCCCTGCACGTCCCGGCAGCCCCACGTGGCCGCGCCCAGCCCTGTTGCCGGCCTGGCCTGAGCCGCCGCCCCCGGCCTCTACGCAGGCCAGGCCGTTGTTGCTGTTTACTGCCCGCTGCACGGCCCCAGCCTCCGCTTGGGGAACCTGTGCATTTGCATCGCCCCGTCATCCGTCTGCCCAGGAGCCCGCCACGGGGGGGGTGGGGGGGGTGAAGAGAGAGGGGAGTTCTGCCTGGCCTGGAGGTGACCTCACGGCCCCCGCTCTGCCTGGTCCTTCTCTCGTTTCACAGCTAGAGAACGGGAGCCAAGCTCCCGGAGAAGGATGCCGAGGGAGAGGGTCAGGCCCTTACTTTGTGGGAATCCTGGGACCCGGCCTCAGTCTCTCCGTCTGAGGTTTGGGCTGATGGCTCTCGTCTTAGGACCAGACCAAGAAGGGCTTTCTCCCTGGATGCCAGGCGCACAGGCCCGCCTCCTGGCCGCTTACACGTTCATGCCCACACTTCCCAGGTCCCCGGCACCTGCCGGACCAGCAGCACCATGAGCTTCGTGGCCTACGAGGAGCTAATCAAAGAGGGTGACACAGCCATCCTGTCCCTGGGCCATGGCGCGATGGTGGCCGTGCGTGTGCAGCGTGGGGCCCAGACCCAGACCCGGCACGGCGTCCTGCGGCACTCAGTGGACCTCATCGGCCGCCCCTTCGGCTCCAAGGTGACCTGCGGCAGAGGCGGCTGGGTGTATGTGCTGCACCCCACACCGGAGCTCTGGACACTGAACCTGCCGCACCGCACCCAGATCCTCTACTCCACCGACATCGCCCTGCTCACCATGATGCTGGAGCTTCGGCCTGGGTCCGTGGTCTGTGAATCTGGTGAGTTCTGCAGGCTGCCTTGGTTCGTGAAGGCGGAGGTCAGATCCAGTGTCCAGGCAGCCTCAGCCTGCCCTTCCAGAGCAGAGGCACACTCAACATCTGTTTCTACAGGGTCTTTCTGGGGGGCTGACTGCAGCGAGGGGGGAAGGACACAGGGAAGCTGGTTAGGAGACTGGTGCTGTCCTCCAGTGAGACTTGATGGGATCTGACCGAGGACAGCCCGCAGGAGGAGCGGGCACCCGGGGGAAGCCTGCCTGTGTGAGGTGGGGAAGGGGTGGTTAGCGCTGCTCGGCGCTGACCAAGGTGCTGACAGAAGGGTAGGGGTGCCTGGCCTAGCAGTCCCTCACTGCGGCGAATGGCAACCCCAGGCCCAGGGCTGAGGATCGCCTCTTTCTGGAGGGAGGCCAGGGCTGCTCCAGGGTACTCACTGCGGGGGAAGAGCCTGCCTTGTGCTCATCCCAGGCCAGCGCCTTCATCACTGAGGCCAGGCCTGGGGTGCAGATGGAAGTACCTGAAGCCAGATATTCCCAGACTCTGTGTGTGTGCGTGCACACACACACACACACACACATGTGCTGTGGACTGAAGCTTGCACCTGGCCAAGAGCAGCCAGGCCCAGGTGTGCCTGGATTTCCAGAATGTCCTGCACACGCCGGGCCCCTGTGCTCCAGGCTCGTGAAGAGTTCCCAGCAGCACTGCTGCCAGCTTTTGGAGCCTTCAGGCCGTCTCCTCCATCTTTGGGCCTTGGTTTCTCCATGCGGATGACAGGATGGTTGCTTTTGCCCAGGCGATCACTTTGAAATGGGGAGAGTCAGATGCAGAGCCTCAGCCGAGAGCGGGTTCAGAGAGTGGGTGGGGGCTGGGCAGGGGCCGGCCGCTCGGCACCAGGGGAGCTGGGGGTGGACAGGATTCAGGGCCAGCTTGTCCCTTGCTGCCCGCCCCCGGGCATCCGCGGCCAAGGCCTGGCTCCACTCAGCTGAAAAGCGCGGTCAGCGAGCGGGCTTCTGGGCTCCTCTGAGGTACCAGCTCCCCTTGTGGGAACTGTGGGTAGAGCCACGACAGGTCAGGCTGGGTTTCTGCTTCTTGAAGGGGACAGGCAGTGGGCCCAGCATGACTGTCTCGGTGTTACTGCGGACTGTGGGCTGCGCATTTGAGGGTGACTGAGAAGGGTCCCTCCAGCTGGGCGGTCAGGGAGGACCTGAGGAGAAAGCAATGAGTGACACAATGGGGAGCTGTGAAGAGCCACGGGGGACGGTCACCCCATGGGAGAGCCTCGCAGAGACCCTACGTGAGGGGCCGTCGAGGAGGCCAGTGTGGCAGGAGCCGGAACGAGGTCAGGGAGGAGGCACACGCCGCCAGGGGCGTCACGAGGAGTCCGACTCTGCCGTGGAACAGAGGGCTGGTCTGACGGAGGCTGCAGGGAACCCGCGGCTGTGGAGGCAGGCCTGAGGGCAGGGCTCGGGGGCTGTAACAGGGAGGGAGGGGGGCCCAGGTGGGCGCTGCGGGCAGCTGGGGAGAGGCACCTCCTGGAGAGATGGGGGAGGAGGTGCCGGTGGGGGCGGGGGCGGCTCCAAGGCGTCTGGCTGGGCGGTCACCGCCCTCGTCACTGGGAACAGAGGCTTGGCAGGGAGTGGACTGGGGCTGGATCACTCCAGCTCTGCACTCGTAAATGCCGGGTTCTGTTTGCGGTCACGAGGGAGGTGGTCAGTGTTCAGTGGACACAGAGTATCTCCATCATGCTTGGCATCTGGAGCCATAAGGGGTGGGGAGGTCATGGGGGGTGACAGGGCCCCAGCGCTGGACAAGACGGCAAGCAGAGGGGCAGCCTGAGGCTGGAAGAAAACGGGGGCGGCGACATGGGCGCACATTGGTCGCCGAGTCAGGGTGAGGGCAGAGCTGCCCCTTGTGGCGGGAGCGGACTGGGGGTAGGAAGATGGACTGACCTGCATCCCTCAGGCCCAGCCACCAGGTGGGACGGGCCAAGCCTCTTGGTCCGCTCTGCCCAGACCCTGCACGGCCCTGGGGCAGTCTAGCCCCTCTAAGGACCCCTGTTGGGACCCCGGTCTGGGCAGCAGGGTTTGCTCCAGAGCTGGGGTGGGCAGGACTGCTCCCCGCCCAGCAGGACCCCCCCAGATCAATAGGCAGGCGGCTCCCCTGCGCCCACCTGGGACAGCCCCTGTGTCCCAGAACCCCATGGGGAGCCCCTTACTGGTACCCGCTGGTAACCGGGGCTCAGCCGACCTCGTGGACCCCAGTGGGTCTCCCCAGGGTGAGGGTAGGCTCATTTCCCGCCTGACTCCCGTCCCCCCTGGCCAGGCACCGGCAGCGGCTCCGTGTCCCACGCCATCATCCGCACCATCGCGCCCACGGGCCACCTGCACACAGTGGAGTTCCACCAGCAGCGGGCGGAGAAGGCTCGGGAGGAGTTCCAGGAGCACCGCGTGGGCCGCTGGGTGACCGTGCGGAACCAGGACGTGTGCCGCAGCGGCTTCGGTGTGAGCCACGTGGCAGACGCCGTCTTCCTGGACATCCCCTCGCCTTGGGAGGCCGTGGGGCATGCCTGGGATGCCCTCAAGGTCGAAGGTGAGCTGGGCTTCTGGGAACGGGGGGTCAGAGGGTCAGGGTGGGTCAGAGTAGCCCAGGGAGGTTCGGGGGTGGTAGGAGAAGTCAGGACTGGGGAGCGCAGGGCTCAGCTGGGCCCTGCCCCTTGGCTTGGCCAGCTCCCACCCCAAGGCGGGCGATGTCTGGGGTCCCTGGGGAGTATCCCGGCAGCCCTGCCTGCCTGAGACGCGGGGCATGCCGGAGGTCAGCCCCTGACCCCAACCAGTCCCCCCAGAGTCTCCCCTCCCCACCAGCCGCAAGCCGGGCAAATGCGTCCCTTTTAGGGAAGATGTTGGGTGCAGAGGCGGGGAAGTCGGCTCTGAGCCAGGAGGCGCTGGCGAGGCCCTGGGTTTTTCCCTTTTCTGGAGAAGTTGCTCCGGCAGCCAGGCCCCTGCCTCCTCCCCGCTGAGCAGAGCAGCAGGAGGGGGAAGCCCAGAGCCCCGGGGACGGCCCACCCCTATGAACGTGGATTCCTGGCCAGTGGGTCCCAGTGGGTCCTCTGCCTGCTAGCCTGGGACTGCCGTGTCCCCGGTCTGTGCCAGGGTGGCCGGGGAGCACCAGCTCCCCCCACCCCTTCTGCTAGGCCCCTGACACCCGCCAGCCCCTCCTGCCCTGGGACCCCAGCGGGCTCAGGCCCAGGTGCCCCGAGGCCAGAGCTGGGCGCACGGCCTGGGCTGAGCGCAGGCGGCCCCTGGCCCGGGAGCCCTGCGTGTGTTGTCCTGCCCCCTCCGCCCCACGGAGCCCTGCTCTCTGCGTCTGCTTGTTCTGGCCCAGAGGCTCCCGGCTCCCTCGTGGTCTGGCGGTTCTCCAGGGCTCCCCTGCCCGCGTGAGCCCGGCCCCGGCGCCGGCTCCCTGCGGGGCTCGGCCCTGCCCCCTGTGCCTTCCGGCTTGACCTCGACCCTGCCTCCAAGCGCAGGCCTCCCCAGTGGGGCTGAGGTGACGAGGCCTCAGGGACCTTTGAGGGCTGTCACAGGCCACCTCGCCTCCCCCAGCCTGGCCTCCCCGCCCCCGCCCTGCAGGTCCCGGGCTGGCTGGGGAGGGAGGCGGCAGGCAGGAAGGGGCTCCCGCCCTGCCCGTCATCCTTGGGCCTGGGGCTGGTTCCGTAGGCGCCTCCAGTTGCAGGAGCCGCGACAGCCTCTAATTTTCTGTGACAGCAGCCCCTGCCCCGGGGCGGCTCCTTGCGGTTGGAGCTGTTCTGGGCTCAGTGCTCCAGCAGCTGCCTGCGGAGACTCCGCTCTGGCCCCAGCCCTCGGCCGCCGGTGGGGGTCGGGGTGGTCGTGCCCGTGGGGGCCCAGGGGTGAGGCGGTGGGCTTGGTGCAGGCGGCCCCTTCCTCGTGGGCCCTGCCGGCTCTTCCGCTCTGAGGCCTCAGCTACTGGTGGCTGGAGGGCTTGACTGTCCTCGGAGCCCAGAGCAGGGGTCCGGGCGTCCACGCCTCGCACAGCAGGGTCTCTCCCAACACCCACTCCTGAAGGCGCCGGGCTGCATTGCCTCTGCTCGACGTTCCCAGCCACAGACCCCCAGGCAGAGGTTCACCGGCGGGCAGGGGTGTGGGCAGAGCTGGAGGGGTGGGCTCTGGGATGGCCAGGGGCGGGGCTCGGGGCCGGCCCTCTGACCCAGCATCTTGCCCCACCCCCGCAGGTGGGCGCTTCTGCTCCTTCTCACCCTGCATCGAGCAGGTTCAGCGCACGTGCCAGGCGCTGGCGGCCTGCGGCTTCTCGGAGCTGAGCACCCTGGAGGTGCTGCCCCAGGTCTACAACGTGCGCACCATCAGCCTGCCTGCGCCCGACCTGGGGGCCAGCCCCGGCCCGGACGCCGGCCCCTTCCGCAGCGGCACGCCCATGAAGGAGACCGTGGGCCACACCGGCTACCTGACCTTCGCCACCAAGACTCCGGGCTAGGGGCGCCCCCCGGGAGCTCCGGGGAGCTGGGAGGTGAAACTCCGGCCAGAGACTACCTTGTATGGTCAGCGGCCGCCTGCCGGGCCGGTGTTTAGAAATGGACTTGGAGCGGGGAGGGTGGGGCAAGGGGGCCTCCCTGACAGCTGGCAGGGTGGCGGGTGGGGGGGCTGCCGCTGTGGAGCAGCATCATGGCCCTGGGGAAGCGCTCCCGCCCGAGGTCAGCATGCCCGCCCTGCCGGCTCATAGCCTCGCCGTCTTCACTGCCGTGGGCTCCTCCGGGTGGGCATGTGGCCGGCGCGGGTTTGACCCTCTTGGGTGACCCCAAACAGGGAGGGCGGAGGAGGAGGCCCGCGGACGGTGGCCTTGGGCCCAGGACCCCCACCGCCAGCAGAGCGGTGGCCCTGCCGCCTGGCCTCAGGCCCGACCCCCTACCGGCACTGACCCGGCCGTGTGCCCAGGTTCCCTCCTGGCGGGCCCCACCCACCACCTGGCTTCTCCACCCAGGAAGCGCCTGCTCCGCAGCCCAGTCCAGCCAGAGCCCGGGTGCGGATCCGTGAGAAGACAGCGTCTCTCTGCGGAGAGCAGAACGGACGCGGGCTGCCTCCTGGCGGCCAGCGGTGCTAGAGCTGGTCTGCGTGCCTGCCCGGAGGGGCCCCAGGGTCCTAGGCTGAGCACTGCCCCGCCCTGCCCAGCCTCCAGCTCCTTGTGGCCCCCCCCACCCCCACCCTGTTTCACAAAAGGCCTGGGTGCCTGCCCTGGTTTCAGCCAGCCGGCAGGAGCCTCTGTGACCCCGTGTTGGCATGAGAGCCCCAGGGGCCCGTGCTGGCCTGGGACTGCTGCCCGACCACGCCCAGCGGAGAAATAAACGCTGTTGCCCCCACCGCAGTGACTGGTCCCCTGGTGCCTCAAGGCCTGGCCTCCGCTCCCCACACCAGCATCCAGCTGGATCTCGCCACACGGCCACCCGGCCCCTGCTCCTTCCTCTCCCAGGGCCGCTGCCACGGGGCTGTGGACTCCAGAACAATGGCCTGGGACGTGGTGGACAAAGGGATGAGTGTGTGCCCACCCCCACCCCCACCCGGCTGCAGAAAGGGCCACTTGTTCCTGGGAGTGGGGGTGGGGGGAAAGAGAGCGTTCCTGGCTGTGTGTGTGTGTGTGTGTGTGTCCGTGTGTGTGTCCATCCGTCCATCCATGTCCGTGTCCGGCTGGGCCCAACCTCCCAGGCCTGCTGTTCTGGCCCCAGGCCACCACCCAGGTTTTGGGGGTCCTTGGAGTTGTGCCAAATGAGGTGAACCTCCAAGAGGACCAGTCTCCTGGCGGCAGCATCACAGGGAGTGGGGGGGGCATCTTCTGTCTCCTAGGAAGACCTGTGTCCCCTATGAGACCCTAGGGTCCTCCGAACCCCTTGCCCTGTTCCAGGGGTCATGTCCCCCTTCAAGGACCTGTGCTGACCTCTGACTCCACGCCTAGTGTGGGGACAGAGGAAGGACCTGGGCTCTCCTCGGCCTTCAGGAAAGGCCTTGGGGGCATCTGTGTAGGGGGACAGGCCTGGCGTTGCCCGCTTCCCGAGGGGCTTAGGCCGGCGGCTGAGACTGCTGCCTGGGGTGAGGCTCTGGGGCCTGCACTGGGGGCCCTGTGAGCCGGAAGGGAAGCCAGCCCAGGATGGATGACGGGCAGAGGGCCACCAGGTTCGGGGTCAGGATTCCTGGCCCCCTGTCCATGCATGTGGTTGTACTTGGCACAGAGCCACTTTTTTAAGGATGGATGGTCCTCCAGCCCCTCGACTGGGCCCACACTGAGTCCCCAGAGCTCCACCGTACCTCGATCCCATCCCAAGGTCTTCAGCCTGGAGCCCTATCTGGCCCTGAGCCAGCAGTGAGCTCCCGCGCATCCTTCAAAGCCCATCAAGCGTCCCGGTGCCTCTCACCCCTGGTCCCTGGGTAGTCTCGCTCAACCCTTTCCTGCTCCCCGGGAGCCCACGCTAGTGATCTCCCCTGTAGGGCTGTCCTTGGCCGGGATCTGCAGCAGACAGACTGGCAGGAGCCAGGGGATTCCCTTAAATCCTTCAAATGGGGAGTGTGCCACCCAGGGCCCCTGGTGAGCGAGTGACTTGGTCACCCCCTCGAGGCAGCAGCCTGGGGCTGGTCACAGGACAAGGATTCACCGGGAAAGTCCCGTCCAGCCCCAGACACGCACCTCTGGCCTTCAGTTTTTCCTCAGGAAGTCTTGCACCCACATGGCCCTGACCCGAGGGGTGTGACGCATCACCCTGCCACCCACCCCCACCCCAGCCCCCGGCTTCTGGGCTCAAGCCCCGGAGACAGCTGGCCTGGCTGTGAGACTCACCTGTCTGGAGGGCCCCAGGTGGGATCAGAGCCCACATGTGTGGGGGCTGCCTCCAGCCAGCTCCCCTGGAAGCCCCCCAGGCCCTCCCCCCTCAGCTCCAGGGTGAGCTGCCCCTGCCTGCCCCCCATGACCCCCTCACCCTGTCACCTGTCTCAGCGGGGCTCTGTGCCCAACCGGGGGCCATGCGGGCTGTACCCGCCTCGCAGGGTGTGGTCAGGGAGGGGGTGGGCTTCCCATCCCTGCCCCCGCACCTCTGCTGTGTGCTGCCCCCTCCCCATCCCCTTCTCTGCCTTCGTGGCCTCTGTTCTCCCAGGAATGTATGGCTCTCGGGCCTCTAGCCTGTGTGGAAGACAGGTGAGCTGCCTGGGACCCTGGCCCGGGATTGGGAGTGGGGATGGTGCGGCTCCTACCCCATCCCAGCCCAATGCATGGGGGGAGAAACTGAGGCCTGCGCTGCAGAGGTGAGGCTCACTGAAATCCCATCCACCCCCACCTCTGCCCATCCACCCAGGACCTCCCACATCTGCCACACTGCCCCCCTGTGTGGTTGTTGGGTGTGGCCACAGAAGCCAAAGGAGAGAGATGGCTGTTGTAATCCTAGAAGACTCCTTGGGAGAGGTGACAGTCCTGCATGTGGAAGGGCAGATGGGACTTAGAGGCCGGTGAACAGCCGGCCTCCCCAGGCAGGAAGCTTCCCGCGGCCCGGGAGAGGGAGTGGAAAGCGCCTGAAGCGGCTGCTTTGGAGCGAGGTTGGATCAGAGGGCAGCGTCAGGCTGGAAACTGCCAGCCACGTTTGCAAGACTTCTGAGCTCACGCAGGTCACAGGACCAGCGCTCTGCTCTGCCCAGGGGCTGCGGGGCTCCCGTGCCAGCCAGGGTGGGGGGGTGCCCCTTCCTTCCAGTGGCGCCTCAGGTGAGAGGGAGAGGGGGTGGTTGGCCCTGCTGGAGGTCTTGGCTCCAATGCCCCCAAGAGGGAGCCAGCAGGTGCGGGTCCAGTTCTCAGGGCAACCGTCTTCATCAGCCTCAGGCGCTTTCACCCAGCAAACGGGCTGAGCACCCTGGGACGCTGAGCACCCAGGCCTCCAGGGCAGCCTGTCCCGTCCTCAAAGGCTCCAAGGACCAGGCACATTCACTGCAGGCGGGAAGAGCCTGCTCCAAGCAAAGCAGGCAGCGGGGGCAGGGAGGAACAAGAAGGCCTTGCCAGGACGCGGCGTCCGCAGTCCCAGGGGAACAGGGACTTTGGACAGGGCCCCACAGGCCTCCCAACCCCAGCAGGGATGGCCAGACCCCACGCTGCCCTCCCGAGGATGCGCTTAAGGGCTCAGGCTTCCAGAATCACATCCTCCCACCCGCCTGCCTGGGTGAGGGGGGGGTGGCGGGGGGAGGGACGGCTGCCACGAGATTAAGCATCACATGGATGTGTGTGCAGTCTGTGTCCACAGTGTCTCGATGATGGTCAGCACCCGTGGGAGCCTCCGTCACCTCCAGAAGACCTCTGACCTTGCATTTGCCAAGGCCAGAATTTGAGGACTGCTTCTGAATCCATCTGAGAAATGTCCTCTGCACTTTGTAGCACTTGAATAGCTTTTTGCACCTTCAGGGACACTTGCATGTGTATCAGAAGACTTGACACTGAGACTCCTGGAAAAATCCGGGTCATCCAGTCCCTGTGCCTATAGTTGTGTAACTAAACCAGAAACAGGCTGTTGGATCTCGCAGAGGCAGGCAGCATTCAGCTGACCCCCACGGTTTGAGAAGTAGGTGTATTAGTTAGCTGTCGCCACAAATATGCTGCATAACAAATAATCACCCTCAACACCCCCCACCCCGCTCCAAAAAAAGCATTCGGGCTTAAAGCCGCGGCCAGCTGCTCTGGGCCTGTGGCTTGGCGGCACTCGGCGACCAGAGCCGGCTCTTCCCCGTCTGGGGCCAGAGCTTATGTAAACTGCCCCTCCCCTTCCTCCTGGGCCCGGCTCCTCTCGCGGCCCAGGCGCGGTAGGGGCGAGCCCGGTCATGCAGGCGCTTTTCGAGCCTTTGGTCACATGGCCTAACCTCGGGTCCCAGTGGAAGGAGAGACCCTGTGATTTTAGGGGAGGAGCTGCAGGACGCGGGGCCTCGCCCTCCCCCTGCGTGTGCGCACGTGTGCGTAAGTGTGTCTCCGGCCCGCCTCGGGACGAGGGCATTTCAAAGTCAGGCTGCCTGGGAAGCGGCAGCGCCGGTGGGAGGGAAGTACTCGCTCCCACCAGGCTGAGAATAGCGCGGAATTGGGTCACGCTCCCGGGAGCTCGTCACAGCCTCCAGCTCCGGACGATAATCAGCTTTCTCCCCGACAGCTGTCCCTTCAAAGAGCAGGGCAGGCCGGCTGCGGGCACGTGTTTAGAAGAAGCCGAGGGGGTCGAGACGGACGGGGTGGGGAGCCTCCACTGACCCGCCCCCGCTTCCCCTGCTGTCCCCGCCCGGCCGGTCGCCTTCCTCCTTCCTGCCTGCCCCGCTGCTCCCCCACTCCTCAGGGCCCGGGAACTCCAGGGGCATGCCACTCCCCAGGGCCCCGCGCTGAGAGAAGGCTCCACGATGCCCCTCACAGCCCCCCGCACCCCCGCCCCGGCTCCTTGCAGGCTGAAGGTGTCCGTGGGCAGCGGGCGGCCCCACCCCTCTGAGGCCGCAGGAGGCTCAGGTCCCTCCAGGCCCTGAGGCCTGGACGTGGCCCCGGTGCCCCCACATTCCCAGCAAGCCGTGGGTGCGCCCGCCCCCGCGCCTGGCACAAGCGGGCCTCAGGCCCCGCCCCCGGCCCCTCCCTGGGCGGGGCCGCCCCTGCACAGCCAGGTGTGGGCCCGTCCCACTGTCTGCACACAGCGTGGCCTCGCCTTTGGCAGGATCCCAAGCTCCGCCCGCCCCCCCGCTTCCTGTCTCGGTCGGTCCACCCCAGGACGAATCCTGCCCCACTGCCCTCCCCATCCCCGGGGGGCCTTTAGTCCTGCCGACCGATGAAGCGTCCAGACGTGACCCTGCTGGAGAGGCGGAGGTCC